TCTCTCTCTCTCTCTAAAATTCATGTTCTGACAATTGAAAAAGTCAAAAAGAGGATCTGATTATTTTGGCTTCTGAGAGAATTATATAGAGAAAAAAGTGGTATTATGAACCATATAGCTATTATGACCATTCTCTGTAATATCTGTTATTAAGTGATGAATTCTAGTAATTACTTAATCATTCATTTAGTAGCTTGCCGTTATGCAATGGTGCTAATATAATAACAATAATAACAATAGCCAGTACACAATAGCCATTTGTATTTTTATAAGACATTTTTACTTTCGAACATTTCGAAGTATATTTTAATATTCAATTACACATACTTCTTCATTCTTTTGAAATTTAAGCGTATTATTACATGAATGTATGATTCCTTGAGTATTCTTTTTTGTTATTTTATTCAATTATATATATATCGACTATACATTTCGAATAATGTAAAATTAAACAATAGCATAATATTTTATGTTACTGAGGTCCTCTAAGCATAAATATAACTACTTTTGAGATTTTCATATTAAAGTAATTCTTCGATAATAATTTAAGTTTAATTAAAAAATTTAAAAATCTAAAAATAGATTTTGTAATTTTGTTCTTTTCATTGTTTATCTGTGATTTATTTTCTAATTGAAATCAACATCTCTATCTATTTTAAAACTTTGCAATTATAATATAGTTTTTTCTAACAGTTTATTTTAAATAAATGTATAATTTTATAACAAAATAGTGTTTTTTAAACAAAACCAATTTTTTAAGTTTATTTTTGTGTTTGCCAATATTACCGTTCCTGTTTCTCTTCGATCCATTATACAGTGTCGCTATATTTTTGTAAATAATATTCAATATAATAAACATTTCATAACTTTGAATCTAGAACTTATCGAACAATACTTTGATGAATATAACCATTAAGTTTTTAATTTAAAATATTGATTATTAATGAAGTTATTCTACAAAATGTAAATGGATGATCGTAATACCTTCTCCTCTAACATTGCAAGTGCAATACGATTCTTAGCCCGACTTTTCTGATATTGATTGAAATCCATGTTAAGCACGCTAAGTGCGTCGCTATTTAAAAGTATATCCGCCCGAGTATTCAAACTTTTTTAATATTTGAACAATAAGACGAAAGTACAGTATGTCGTGGAGTAACGGCAACTCACATTGATCCGTCCGATCTTGGACTCTCGCTTGTCTAACGTACATACATGCACGCACACGTAGCATGGTACGTTCAATATGAATAATGGATTCAAATCAAACCAGCCGTTTAGCGTGGAAGCGTGTGCCGCGGATTCGCGTCTGTTTGCATATGCGGATTTAATCTGCGTAATTTGTGTAAGTCGCCTTCCGATCGTTCTCTCGTGCGCTGAAAGCGCGCGCGTGACGGAAGACGCAATTATTGAATAACAGGCAAAATGGCAGCAAGAGAGCGAGCGGGAGAAGGCTGGGGGGAGGAAGAAAGGAAAAGAGAGAGAGGGGGAGGAGGGAGAGGGAGAGAGAGAGAGAGAGAGAGAGAGAGAGAGAGAGAGAGAGAGAGAGAGCAATCGCTTTACTGCTGGTTGTACTCTCTCGGCTTTAACATGTTGCAACGGCAACAACGAACACGGTGCGCCACGGCGGAAATAACGCTCGACTTAACTTACAAGAGACACGCCACCATTTCCAACGAGGGCGTCCCGTCGTCGCGGCCCTCGTCGATCGTGTACTCGATTACCTCGATAACGGGGGCACCTCGACGAATAACGGCGATCGATTTTGGCCCCGATTTACTAATGGATCCACCTGTCTCTCTTTGCCGTTTCAGGTGACAAGATGGCAGCGATACAGCGCCGCAAGACGTCGGCAGCGAAGAGGAATCTGGCGGGCGTGCTGGTACCGGCGATACTCGTCGTAGCGGGCGTCGTTTTAGCGCGATAAGCGTTTCACTTCGAAATGTCCATAACTATTACGTCATTACTTCCGTTTGTGATAGATAGGATATTACCCTCCCCCCGGGACTTTACGGTCCACCCGCCCACCCGTCCTCCTTTTTCACCTCCCCCACTCTCTTCCTCTCCCATCCGTTCCTCGCGGGTTTTCTTTCCCCCTCATCCACATTCCCGCGTCTTCCGCGTTCCACCTTCCGACTCCCTTCACCCTCGTTCCCCTTATTCCTTATTTACTTTAGTCGAGGTTGCCGCCGGCTGGACTACTTAGATATGCGAGATTTTCGTGGAAGATTGCGCGATTGCCTGCTCCAAGTCATTACGCGCGACGCGCATGCGACTCGAATTATGTAAATACTGCCCGGGTCGAATACGCCACGACGAGGCGGATTACGTTAGGCCAGGCCTGTCCAACTTCCGGGTACCGCTGATCATCCCTTCTCGACATACCAGATTTCAAGCCAATCGGATGGAAAACTCAGTACAAACGAATCGATTATGTTGCTAATAAGGTGAAACCATATTTCTTAAAAAGTGTAATGATCGATGAGACGGATTAAAACAGACCTATTGCACACACATGCATAATATGCATAAATACGCTTGATATAAATTTGTGTATTGTATGTAGTTCCTATAAATATGACTTTTTATTTAAGAATAATGCTTACATTATTTGCATTCAAAAATTTGATTATATAGCTCATTTTTATAATTTTAATTTTTGTTTTCAAAATGACGAATCAAAATCAACAGGTAGTAATCAACTGATATACCTTGGAAATATATTCTGTTTAAAATGATTTTAAACAGAGAGCTAAATTAACATGAAATTACACATTTCAGTTTTGCACCAATTTCTCTATAATTTCGTGAATTGATAGCATTTGCTCGCAAAGTGTTTATCTCGTTAATAATTTCACAGACACTTTGAATCAATCTAAAAACCGATATGACCTCTTACTATTTAAATCTGCTTGAATATCGCGTTCCCGAAGTCTGGAAAAATTTCTCTCGGGTATACAGATATTCGCAGAGAGAAATGAAAAGAGAGAAGAATACACTTGGAAGTACTAGTCAAAACGCGAAAATTTACCTCGGCGTTTGAACGCGAATGCGAAACGTGCGTCTCTGCCACAATCTTACGTTTTTCGTTTTTATAAAAATTGTTATGAAAAATTGTTCGCTTTACAAGCGGGCATAAGTCTACCACGGAGAAGTCGCCCGCTCTTGTGCGACATCGTGACGGCGTTGCGAGATGGAGATCGCACCGTCGCGTCGCACGAAAACACGTTTATTGCACGACACGACGTTGCAAGAGTTTATTGCACGCGAAATAAACGCGGACAAAGCGCGTACGTACGAGATCGCAATTCCCGAATGGTGAATCGGGCGTCGCGGCACCGTCATTAAAGACCATCATTAAGGCGTCTTGCGGCCGTGTAGTTACAGTTTATACTACTGAATTGTCTACCCGTCGCTCCGCACTCGAGAAGGCGCCGAGAAAAAGATTGTGAAGTGTTTATTCGCATTATAATTGATTGCGAAGTGTTTTTATTTCCATTCAAATCATAATACCTTTGATATTTCAAACCTGTCTGGTTTTCAGATAACATGCAAATGTAAAATTTCGTGTTTTAATTGCATTATTAATTGTTCTCATTATTTAAAGGATGGATGTATCGATTTTTTAAGTCTTACAGCTTTCTTTAAATAAGATTTATTATAATTCATTGTATTCATTGCCTCGAAACATAACATTGTTTTAAAATCATATTGGCTTCCCTTTACGGTAACGTTAATATGTGAAAATTGACAATTGTCAAAAAAATTTGTTACAAGAATTTTTGGGTTTGCTGATTCAAATTTGATGTTAGAAAATTAAAATTCAAAATGATAAATTTAATATGATGGCTTTACAATTGGAAAAATAAATTTTCATAAATGGTTTTTATTTTGAATTCAAATAATGTACATGTATACAAATTTTTAAAATTCTAAAAGAGAAAAAAAGAAATGAATATATTCATGTATTTCGCCATACATGGCTAGAATGTATTGTATTTTATGATAGTACAGAATACATTGTGGAATTCACGGATTGACTTTATATTGTTTCTTGTTTTTTACATTTTATATTTTTAATAAAAAAACAGTTAATTTCAGTATTAAAGATCCAGCAGAACAAATATTAACAATAAGAGTAGAACTTACATCATGCTTACAATATAAAAAATAGATAACGCCGATATATTGATACTCCCGTTCTGTAAAGCTTAATTATTATTATAAAATTATTTTGGTACGACAGAAAAATTATATACTATGTCCATTGTCGAATATTATTTTATGTACAATGATCGCGAATTTTCACATTTTTACAAAACGTGAATTTTCAAAGATTTAGCACAAAGAAAGAGATGAAAAAAGTAATAATTTCGCTGAATGTTGAACAACCAACATCGTGATGTATGTTGCAACGGTCATTCTTTCGAGCCACATGTCTGATCTTAAAGTTGCACGCGAGCGTTACATCGTCTCTCTTGTCATTGAGTTGAACTACGTGAAACGTCTCACGAAAAAACATAGTTTCTCTCAGTGCGAGTCCTTTCCACATTTATTCCTTAACTCCTTTATTATTAAAGCTTTGACCTGCATAAAGATAATTGACATGAAAACATCAGTATGATAAAAATAACAAGTATAAAATTATCAAGGCTTAATAAAATAGCATGAATGATGATGAAACGATGATGAAATGAGTTCATCTTTTTTCTAACTCCAAAATTTCACAAAATTAGCACATATTATTTCTGTTGTACTCACAGTTTTCCATCAAAGTATCAGAAATCCGTTTATATATTCGCAAGGATTTTTCAAGCGAACGAATAAAGTGATTCATCGTTGAGGCGCACTTATCGAATTAATTACGATGCGACATCGTTATTGGGCGTAAAATAAAATAAAATAAAATACAAGTTGGACCCATCAGCTGGACAGGCCTGACTCGTAGGCTCATCAAGCAACGGCGGCGGAAACGTGTCGTATGGAGTCCCCTCCAGCGTTATTTTTGAGGGGCCCAACGAAACCATCACGTAGCATCGTTTTCTCTCGCCCGAAACACTGTACACATCGGATTACACGCGTAGCGATTAAGACGATTCAACGGTTCTTTCTGTATATCCTAATTTAAGGTGAGGCGCGCGCGCGCGCGCGCGCGGAGATACGAAAAATAAAAAAGACAACAAAGGAAAAACGTAGGAAAAGTAGGATTAAACGGTATTTTTGTTCGGGAATCGAATCCTTTCTCCGTCTTCGTTTGTATACTTATGCGTTATTCAAATGACACGTCTCGAGAAATATTTCTTGAGAAACGTCTCGCTCTTTCCACGGGCGGAAGACGGATATGTCAAGGGGAGCTTGCAAGTGGGAATTCAGGAACATATGCGCGACGGTTGTGTCGTTTAATCCTTGAGGGATACAGTATACGTGAGATTCACGTAACCCCGCGGTGAAATCTTAGCGGCGTGTCGCAAGCTTAAACGAGTGAGAAAGTATGAAGGGTGCGAGGGTGACACGCGCGGCTAGGAGTACTCGTGGAGAACGAGCCCGCGAGGTCTTTGAGATTCATCTTAGGCGCGAAATCACGTCTAATGGAAATCTCGCAGACTTGATACTCCACGGAATCCACGGCACCGTTGGAAGTCACGTACATCGCATCGCCGATATTATGTCTTCGAGCGCGATCTGTATGCGACGCAATCTGTATCACGATATAGCGATTTATTGTAGTAAAATACACGATATGCGATAAGAAAAAAAAAATACTTGCAGCCAGACTTCCATTCTCCGAAACAGCGGCGAGATTTGTTGCCAGCAATATCGACGGAAACGTTTAACAGATAAATCATGTATATCACGTTTTCAATTTCAAACCTCTAACATCTAAGATTTAATTGACGTCGGCACGAGTATCTGACGCTAACTTGGAAAGCGAAAGTTAGGAAAGGTATGTATTTTATTTCAAGATTTTCATATAATTGTCTTGTTTAGAATATTTATAGAAATATAATAGTTATTATTAGATGGCAAAAATAGCCTTTTACTTATCATTATTCGTGAAACTTCGAACTAGATTTGTTTTCTACTATTAGACATTTAATTCAATAAACTCATCACTTTTCTCTGGAGTTGTCTAAATCCCTCGTTTCGCGAAAACAATTAATAATTTAAAAGTCTGATCGTACTCCAATGACTTGTATAGTACCCACGATAGGAACAATGATACGATAATGTAATACTTTACAGGCACGCATTCAACAATTCGTTTCAAACTTATCCGCGTTTATAATAATAAGAAGCGCGCAAATAAATATAACGCGCATACCATAATAATTTTAGCGAGTTACACTTTTCCAACGTAACATAAAACATATTACATAGATCCGTATGCATGAAAGTCCATATATGAACCGTGCGTGGAATTCCTATCTACGTCCCCGCGAATCTGAAATTTTAATGAAGTTATTCTGCATAAAAGTGAAAAAAAAATCTTTTTTCGAATAATGTCTTCTTGTATGTATGTCTTCTTGTATGTATGCGAAACTCAAACTCAACCCATATCGCATTGCGTGCCGGCATTACTTTATTCGTTATTACATGAGTATATATTGTCAAAGGATTTACTCCGATATATTACGAAGACAGGCACGTCGTTAAATGTTTGTTCTACCTCGTGACAGAATTTCCTAGCGATATTTGTGAAACTAACGTCCTGACATCGGAATACAAATAGCTTCTCTCTCTGATCAGATCCCATTATGCGTTATTAATAGAAATATGCAGAACGCGCGATGTCAATTCTACAAACGGAATTCCACGGAATATGATTTCGCGAGAGATCTGTCACCGTTGTCAAATCGCTTCCTTTGCCATTGCTTCCTTTGATAACTTTTGATCGCCTATTCATGATAAATTTACGGTTACAGCTTTATCGCTCGCGTTATTTGAAATTCAAACAGTCTGCAAAACGGTTACCGAATTCAACAAATTTTACGACCCTTCCGACAGCTCCCCAATCGTCCCTCACGATCACCTCGTTACTATAAGTTAATAGCTCCTTTACGTGTACTTTGATCGTCCTTCTAGAACCAAATATCCGCTCGCGCATGTTACAACATGTACAAAACATATACATTTATATTCATGCATTTTAGGTTGATTTAGTATTCCCGTTTACTATAATATGCAGCATGCTTTTATTAACAATAATCCCGTTTCAAATGGGATTATTACTTTTACTCTTTATTATCTTTGGTCTCATAGAAAAGATCGAATCGATAACAGAGAATAATATTCAATTATAAATATTTTTAAAAGCTTTGATATTATATAATTTTTTACATACATTTGCATGTGACTTATTTTAAATTTACTATTGCAATGTTAATTTGTTGTTACAAATTTCTATAGTTTACTATTGTCTATACCATAAGACTTTCTAGTTATAATCATTTATCTTTAATATTTCACTACATCCCAGAACAAATACGATTCATTCGATGTACATATTCAATATTAAACCTAGAATATCTGATTGGAGACAAAATATATCCAAACGTTTCAATACAATTTATTTGAATTATTTTCTAAAATACATTTCCAATTACGTTTTGAGTCGTACGATAAATTTTGAAAAATGTATTTATAGTAAATCAAATAATGATAAATTATAACATTCTAACTTAATTAAAACAAACATTTTAATCACGCGATATTCGCAACAAACATCGACGCAGCGTACGATCGGATGTTTTTACACAAAGGAAAATGCAGTCAGTTTTTCTGGCGCTGCGGAGGAAAGATCAGACCTCTTAGCAATAAATTATTCATTACAGAGAATTTCAGTTAATAAAACAGCAATTTTTTTATCCAAACTTTTTTTCATCTGCATCGAAGGACTAGAAAATGAGAGAGGAAGAAATAAGAATAATGCATCCCTTCCGCGATGCTTGGTGCTTTCGATAGAGATTCAAACGGTCCCGAGACTAATGGCCGGTAACATGCACGCGTGTATTTATTTATATCCACGCGCGAATCGAAATTCCTATCTACGAGTATTTCGATGTCGAATACCGGCTGATGAAGTTATCGGAATAGCGTGGCGCGATACGCCGTAATGAGAACAATGCGGCGCTCCTCGAATATTTACCAACCTCACGGAATTCTGCAATAGCGCGGCCGTCACGCTGAAGCGACTACTACGCGAATTCCATGGATTAGCGCGCCGATTCCTCGATTAATTTAATTAAAAATGAATACTCGATGGAAATAATCCTCTCGCGCCCGCACCCGCGCCCGCGTCCGCGCCCGCACCCGCGCCCGCGCCCGCGCCCGCATCCGCACTTGCCCTCCCCACACCCCCCCCTCGCCCACGCCAGCGCCCACTCTCGCGGCCGCGCGTGCTC